CTTGCTGCATCCACTAGAGAATCCCATGCCAATGGAAGCTCACAAGAAAGTGCTCTTGGGACCTGGCACAATGGTGCAGTGGTTAAGGTCCTCGCCTTGCACGCCCGGGATCCCATATGGGCACCGGTTCTAAACCCGGCGGCCCCGCTTCCCTTCCAGCTTGCTGCCTGTGGCCCGGGAAAGCAGTCAACAGCCCAAGGCTTTGGGACCCTGCACCCACGTGGGAGACCCGGAAGAGGCTCCTGGCTTCGGACCGGCATAGCATCGGCCGTTGCGCTCACTTGGGGAGTGAATCATCGATCGGAAGATCTTCCTCTCTGTCTCTCCTCTCTGTATATCCGCCTTTCCAATAAAAATGAAAATAAATCTTTAAAAAAAAAGTGCTCTTGTCTTTTAGTGCCAACACCATATAGAACTGAGCTTCATAACCACCATCAGCTGGAGTAATTGAGGTTCTTAGAGACCACCATCATCAAGTGCAAGCCCCATGCTGGTCGACCATTGCAGCAGCTCAATGCACATTTGCCAGCAGGGGGCCCAGGAAACAAGAAGGCTTGATTCTGGTAGGCGCCACTGTGCCCCTGGACTTGCTGGCCTTTGAATCCACAGGGCACTGCCAGTCTTCTGCATCAAAGTGTCATAACTTCAGAAGTAAAGAAAAACAAAACCAACAGAGAGGAGTCCTGCCCACCTGCTGCTTGGCCCCACAGGAACATGAGTTCCTGCTTCTAGCACATTCTAGGATACAAGGGGAGCACATGGTATGCAAAGCAGCTTCGAAGAGTGCTGCACCAAATCAATAACACCTGACATGGGCAAAGCCTGGGATGGTGAGGGGGGCTGTGCATTTGAGGATCCACCTGCCAGAGGTCAGCCTCCTCAGCTGTACTACTTTTCCCTCCTGGGGAGACTATATGGCTCCATGGGCAGGAGCTGAGCTGATCTGAAGCCAGGAGCCAAGAACCTCCACTGGGTCTCCTATATGAGTGCAGAGACCCAAGGATCTGAGCCATCCTCTACTGCCTTTGCAGGCCATAAGCAGAGAGCTGGATCAGAAGTGGAGCAGCTGGGATTCAAACAAGTACCCATACGGGATATTGGCACCAAAGGTAGAAGTTTAGTCTACCATACCATGGTGCCAGGCCCTAGATTACAAACCTGGTCTTGCAATGTCCAAAGATGCGTGTTCTGGACAAAATTTCTCCATTTGTCTTGGGACAGTAGGCCAAAGTTAGGTGACCTCATGTGGGCAACCTGACCCAGTCATGGCATCAGTGTTTACCTGTAGAAACTGGCACAGTGTCACAACCAGCTTTCCCCCAAAAGCTGTTCTCACGGGCTCACCACTGGTTATTTAAGATTCAAGTGCACTCTGCTGGTTTCATAGTCTCAAATACTAATCCTCTGAATCCACTCTTTCCTCAGTGCCCAGATGAGGAAGCAAAGTGTGAAGGGGCTGGGACCCTCACGAGGCAGTGCAGCTGTCTGTGCGGGTTTCTGTTCAGATATGAGGTTCCCCATAAACTGGTCCTTATTCTTCAATCACAGATACATGGACGGCCACTTGTAACTGCTTTCCCCAGGATGATCTGTGCTGCTGTGAGCCCACCTGTTCCCAAAGCCTTCCTCTTCTCCCAGGAACCTTGAAGAACTTGAATTTCTTGGGAAAGGAAGGTAGCTAGTAGATTTTTGTCTTGCAGCATGCATTGGGTTTACGTTGGGGGTTTGTGTAGTGTGGGAGCCCCTGAACTCTGGGCATAGAGTAGAGGGAGGGCAGAGGGGTCACAGCAATCCCCAAGCCCTCAACACCATGCAGGTGCTAAGCTACTTATATGCCAGGGGGACAACAAATCTTTCAAGAGGCTGTTTGCAAATGCTTTATTGCATATAGGGTTCCACGGCGCTAGCTGAACAAATGGAAAAATTAGTCTACCCTAAAATACCCAAGGCAAGTCATTTCCTCTCACCTTGTTTTCTAAATGGACGTAACATCGAAAATCTGGGCCTTCCCAAAGCATGGAACAGGGTCATGAGTTACCATGGCAATGCAGAGTTCTATACTCTGCCACTCCAATAGTTACTCCTACAATGATTCCCTGGGCCCTTGTGTGGGGCTCTGGAGTTGGGAGTCCCATCCCAGCAGTCACAAGTGCTCTGCACAGGAGCAGTTGGTGAGCAGATACCATCCTTGTCCACTCCAGCTCAGTCCCTGACCCCAGTCCCTCTGCAGGTCTTCCTAGCACCTTCGAGCTCAGGCTACTTTCCTGCTATTGAGATAGTTTGCCTTTTTTCTTGTTCTTTAATCTCCTCCTCGCAGCGCCATGAGCTGCTGCAGTCTACCAGCAGACAACTCCTTACTTACACCTGGTGCTCTTTCTTTTTTCCTATCGTTCTTCCTTCCATTCCCTTTACTCATTCATTCTATCCACTTCTCATCCATTCATCTCTTCACTAAAGATTTCTCAAATAATGGCTCCAGGTCAAGAACTAAGAAAGCCAGTTGTAGGGATCCAGGAGTGACAGGTATGAATGTGGCCCCCTAGGAGTTGACCCTTTGGATTGGTGGTACCCCACAAGAACCAGCAGAACAAGCAAGTGGGACCCTGTGGGCATAAACAGTACCTAAGAGTCTGAGAAGGCAACATTTAATCTAGAACCTGAGAGTAGGTAATTAAGGGGAAGTTGAGGCGAAAAGAATTCCAGGGAGCAAGCTGCAGGTGCATATGATAGCATCATAGCTCAAAAAGCAGCTGACGCGAGCACTGGGAGGCCTGGGTGTGAGGTGGAGGCAAATGGGGGCAGATAAGTAAGCCAGGCAGTGGGATGGGAGCAGGGACTGGATCTGGAAGGTTTCAGATGGGCTATAGCAACAAATGACATGAATAATAACAATAATAATAAATCAAACAATGAAACCCTAATGGCTGAACCTATTCTCTAACACACAGTCACAGTCACCTTTGAGCAGGGGCTTCTGAGTGCCCCAGAGGCCCAGGGCCATCATTATCAAATGAGTCATCTGACCTTCGTGTTGAGAACTGGGGTCGGGACCATGACTCACAGGACCCGAAAATATAGCATCCCCCTGACTTGGCCCAGGCTAATCTAGGAGGGGGAGAGTGGGCTACTGAGGCACCTGCTAAGGTGATCTCCCACGCATGAGTGTGCATCACTGCATTTTAAACCTTGGATGAGGACAGAGAGTAGATGAATGTGTGCAGCTACTAGAATAAAGACCTACGGCATGAACAAATCCTGAAGTCCAGGCTGTAACAGTGCCAAAGGAGCCCCCAGCTGTGCATGGGTGTCAGACATCGCCCCCCAAATACATAATGCACAAATATTCTGACAAGTAATCTCACAGACACACACTCATGAAGACATACATACCGTCACATATTCATAACACTCTCATCCCATTCTTTTCTTGAAATATCAACTGCTGACATCAATGTCTAAAATTTGTTAAAAGACAAAAGAACTAAAAAGTGACCAAGAGATTAAGTATAAGGGTACTTTGGAAACTTGGGCAGAAAAGAAGACAGCTCAGCCAAAAAAAAAAAAAGGCAAAGCAGGAATGAAAAGATCAATCAAGAAGATTCATGAATCCAAAAACCACATCTGCAGAATGCGTCAGTCTTTGGTGGACTTGGGATAGCTCCAAAATGCCTGACATTTTGAGCAGCTCCAGGAGAACTCCTGGGCCCCTCTGGTTTCATGCCCTGCTGCCACCACTTGAGGAAGTGACTAAGCAGGTCTGGCCTTTTGTCACGAACCAAACATGTAGGTTACAGGGCTTACACCCTTTAAATGGTGCATAAAACGACAGGAGAGACCTAATTAGCTTGTCCAGTGTTAATCAGATCCTTGCCCACCCCCTATTTTATGACTGGGGAGAGTCAAGATGAATTTTCCAACTTGATATTAAACCCAAGAGGTTAAAAATAATATTTTAAGGCACAAAGAAGGGATGTGCCTTACAAAGACATGGCAGCCACAGACACGCCCTAAGGTCGGGTCTCTCCACTGAGCAGCAGGCATAGTCTCCCCTGCCTTCGTGTCAGGGAAGAGCTCTCCCAGCTGATGGTCTCCCACACATTTCTGGGCATTTTTCAAAGAATGAGCATCTTCCGATAACCCACAATTCCAGTAACAACGCAAATCATCATTATTTCTCAAGGAATTTGGTCACATCTAGAAAACATTTCCCCAAGAAAGCACCCCTCCTCGAACCTTCCTCCCACCCCCACACACAAACAACTATCATTTTCTTGAGTGAAATTCCAACACCATTTCCGTTTCAAAGGCCGCCTCTGGCAAGGAGTTAGAAATGAATCTATCTCAACAAAACGGGAAATTATTCTGCAGGCCAGAACTAAACTTCACTGGTTTCTCTTCTCTTGCTCAATTGTACTTTTGTTCACAGTTTCAGCTGGGAGAGAGAGTGTGCATACATTTGATTTGGAGTTTATGAGTTCATATTTTATAATTAACGTTGCCAACAGGGGAGTTTGATTAATACCAAGCAGTGGATTTTGAGCAATGTTCCATACAAATTGCCAAATTTAGCAATAAAATAAATTGGTTATGTGAACATAATTAGTGGGATGACTACTTAAAATTCAAAACTGAATGTGAATAATTCCAAATCATCTGAGCCACAAATCCATTATTTGTATAGGAGGGGAAAGTATAGCATTTGGGTTTTATTTCGCCCTCAACTGCAATGCTATTCCCCACCAAGCTGAACATAATGAAACTTTTACAATGGGTTGTGACAATATTTTAGAGCACTCCAGAAACACACACAGGCGTGCACGCACACACAAAGGGAATGTAATAAATATAAGAGATGCTAAACTGTGAATTTTCATTGCAAATGCAAAAATCTATAACAAATTTCTTAACAAATGTGGCATTACATTTTTCTGACACACGATGTATAAACCTCTAATGCACGATTGCACAGCAGAGCTCTTCCCTGTAAATATCTATGGTACCTTATTGTCACCTTGGACTTCTCCAAGCCTTTGCTGAAGTTCTTTAAGTTCTTCTCCCAGGTGTTTATTTCGGTCCTGAGAATCTCGCAAGAGTTGTGCCAGGTTAGCCTGGAAATATCAACACACCAGGAAATGCAATTAGAAATACAGAAACAGAAAGACGTGGGAGCGGGTTCTGTGGGCTTCAGGATGTGGACGTCCCAGGCACACTGGAGCACAAGGAGCTCATCTGTGAAGGGGGCAGGTGTGTGCAAATCATACCACTGCAGCTGTGTGGAGAACGGGCTTGGGGCTAGCTGTGACCGCAGCAAGAGGAAGGTCTTTGTTTCACTGCAGAAGGCACTTGGATAAGCAATGAAGGAGTCAGCCATCTTTGACTTAAAGGTTATTTTTTTCTTCTTCTTCTTGCTTAATTAATTAACTAATTTATTACTAGAAAGTCAGTTATGCAGAGAGGAAGAGAGACAAAGAAAATCATCTTCCATCCATGGATTCACTTCCCAAGTGGCTGCAATGGCCAGAGCTGAGCTGATCCAAAGCCAGGAGCCTCCTCCAGGTTTCCCACACAGGTGCAGGGTCTCAAGGCTTTGGGCCATCCTCTACTGTTTTCCTAGGCCACAAGCATGGAGCTGGGAAGCAGGGTTGCTGGGATTAGCACTGGCACCGATATGGGATCCCAACATGTGCAAGGCGAGGATTTTAGCCACTAGGCTACTGTGCCAGGCCCTGTTTGGTTTATTTGAAAGTCAGGGTTATGGAGATGTGGTGGGGAGAGACACACAGAGAGAGAGAGAGACAAAAATATTCCAACCTCTGGCTGATTCTCCAAATGGCTGCAATAGCCAGGGTTGGGTGAGGTCGGTGCCAGGAGCTGGGGCTTCATCTAGGCATTCCACGTCAGTGACAAGGGCCCAAGCACATGGAACATCTTTTCCTGTTCTTCCAAGGCCATTAGCAGGAATTTGGATGGGGAAGTGGAGCAGACAGGACTCAATCTGCACCCATGGTATTGTTGGTATCACAGGTGGTAAATTAACCTACCACTGCTGGTCACTGCTGGTCACTGACTTAAAAAACATTTTTTTAAGATCTCATCACATTTAGTTTTAAAAATGGTCACAGCTAAATTCTAAAAATTGGGTCAATAATAAAGGAAATTCTTCATTTCCTCATTTAGATACTTTTTCCCTCCAAAAACATTTTAATTAACATTTATTTATTTATTTATTTTGCACCTCAGTGTCCAGAACTTCAACCACAACTCCAGGAAGCAGCTACAGGAGAGGTCAGTGGTGCAGAGGCCATTCAGCAGGCTCTGGGCTGCACTTCCTACTGTTTCACTCTTATTCTCGCTCACTCAGCAGCCAGCACCCTGCAGCCAGGCTGGTGGTGTCTTGTCCCCACCTCCTGAACTCAAGCCTTTCTTGAGACTTGCCTTGGCCACTTGGGGCCCCAGGATCCCCTGTGGGTGGCTGTCGGCCAGCTCCCCCTTCTGGAGTGTCCAAGGGTACAGGGACACCTGCCATGCCACTCCCCTGGATCTGAGATTTCTGCCTCTCCCCAGTCTGCTATAAGCTCCCATGGCTGCCAGCCTGTGAATCAGTTGCCCACCTTACCCTGGGATTCCTGTCCTGTAGAGCACTTTGCTAGCTATAGCTACTCTAATTTCCATCTCCCTGCCCCCATCCCCACCAACCCCCTTAAGTGAGGGGACTGCCAGCCACAGCAAAGCAGCCCTCCCGGGTCCCACCTCCTCAGCCTGTGCCTGCCTGTGTGTCGGCAAGCATTTGAAAAACGTACACCAGATAAATGCAGGCAGAAGGGAGAAGGGACATTTGCATGAGCCATACAAGGGATCCTGGCAATTATCTCATAGATTCTCTTCCTGTTGTTGCTAAAGAAACTCCACACCCAGGATGTTGAGGGGACTACCCACTATATTGTCTAACTCTCCAGAGACCTCAGTATGAATATTTGGGGGGGATGTTTAATTTTGCTAGACACTAATGAGAACAAAGGGAAAAAGAAAGCCAGCCTGGGCTCCATCCTTCCTTTGCCTCACCCATCACGATTCACTTACAAGGACATTCTGCTGTCAGCACCAGCAGGTGCACCACCCCTCACCTCCTCCCTGTTCACAGCAAAGCAGGCTGATTCCATCTCGGAGCTGGGACTGGAACCCCTCCCCACCTTGCTGCCTCAGGGCTTTACTCGGATTGCCTACCTGGACCAGCTCCACTCCAACTCTCGTGTAACTCTCCACTACTCTTTCCTCTGTGCAGAGCACTGGCCATCTTCTAACACACCATGTAATTTGTTTCATGCTTTATTGCTTACTGCCTATTTCCTGTCTCCCTCTCCTTCCTCAAATATAAGTTCCATGAAGGACAAGGAACTCTGTTCTAACTACTGACCTCTCTCCTGAGTACTTAGTAGTTGTCCCATACGTACTGTGAAAATGGGGCAGCAGGCCAGGTCTGCAGGCTCCAGTTGCAGCCCTGGCCTGTACTTGAGCCCTACAAGAAATGAAAATGCTGGTCCCTATTGGCTGAAATTAATTAAGCCCTCATCTCCATCCATTCACTCATCTGTGGACATTACTCAATAACTCAATCTAATTTTTCAGGCTTGTATTTGTAAAACTCCTATCTTGTAATATTTGGGTTCCAATTTTCCTAGTTGTCTGTTCTCATCAGATAAAACGTTTGATGATGGGTGAAGAAAATTAATTCCCATTCTGTTGGTAGGAAAGCAAAGCAACACTGTGACCAACTGACTGTACTTGGAAACCTCTCTGGATCAAGTCAGGCCAACTAAGTCCCATCCTACTTCTGCCACTAACTGGTCTATGTGAACTTGCATGTGTTTCTTAGCATCTCGACCTGCTTTATCTGTAAAATGGAGCTAATAATAACATACTGTGTGTGGTGAATTGATGCTTTGGAATCATATACAAATGCTCATCCAACAACTTGGCATACAGTAGCTGCTCATTAAATGCTGGTTCTTCCTCTGACTGAGCCCACGTAATGGCTCCAACCCATCACTCAACGGACAGAGATGTGCAGGCATGGCATGTGCTCCCTTGGGCTCCCATGTTCCCACTGTTTCATGCAACTTTTATTCATTCATTCATTCATTCATTCAATCAATGACCTGACACAGTGCCTGCCCTGTGCCAAGCACTGTTCAAGATCTGTAGATTCAGCAGTGACCACGACAGACAAAATCTTTTGCTCTTATAAACCTACAAGCTAAGCAGATGACCTGGATTCCACGATAGTACAACAGACTAAGTAAAGACACAATGCAATGGGTATGAAGAGCTACCAAGACAAGTGAAGCAGTCAAAGAGAAGAGAGCTGCTGGGAAAACTCCCCGGAAGGCCTCGCTGTGGGGACTGGCATTGTGGCACATCATGTTAAGCCTCTGCCTGCAATGCAAGATCCCATATGAGTGCTAGTGTGTGTTACAGTTGCTTCGCATCTGATCCAGCTCCCTGCTAATGTGCCTGGGAAAACAGCACAATGTGGCCCTCCTGGCTTGGGTCCCTGTCACCCACACGGGGGTCCTGGATGGAGTTTCAGGCTCCTGGCTTCAGTCTTCCTCAGCCCTGGCCATGGCTGCCCTTTTGGAGAGTTATGGAAACTAGATGCAAAATTTCCCAAACTCTGTCTTTCAAATAATCTCTTTTAAAAAGGCCTCCCTGGAGCCGCCTTTGAACCCAGATTTGGGAAGGCAGCGAGAGGGTGTTTCACGGGTCTGCTAGAAGGACAAGTATAGGCAGGAGGAGCTGTGCAGTGGCTTCCCTTTCTCCCTGCACCATCACAGGCTTCCCACTCGGGAGAACACTTCAAGGCCACAAGGCAGGCTGGCACGGGCATGGCTGTGACGTCACAGATGACTCACTCCTTGGTTTCCTTTTCCTGGTGCCCGTCCTCCATCCTTCACAAGTGGGCACCCTCTGCCTTTCCTCCTTGCAGCTCTAAAACATTCCCAGACATTAGCTCATGGACCCTGTCGTGGGGCAGCAAACAGAATCCCTACCGAGCAGGTGGCGCACTACTAGCTCAGCCTGGAGCCCTCTGTCTCCTGCACCCAACCAGGAGATTGGAGGCATCCCCATCTGCAGAGTAAGGCTCACCCGTCCCCCTGGAGCCTGACCAGAGAGATGTTCAGAAATGAAACAATGAGAATAGAACAAAACCTAAAGTAAACAAACAAAAATGAACCTGAAAGTTCCCTAACTTTCTTGTTGTAAATCAGAATTAGTTTGAGCCCCTCATAGGAGCAGAAAGACCCTGGTGTGTGCCTTGACTGCCGCCCAGTCTGCACAGCCCAGTCCCCCAGCAGTAAGGGATGGCTGATCGATACTTTTGCAAAAATACAATCAAAATGAATTACTAGGGAAATGGATTTAAAAAGACATCGAGATTCAACAGACATAAAATTGCGCTGTGAAATCACCATCAACGTCACAGCACACTTGCTCTCAGTTTCTGAACTGCCTGGCCTGGGGCTTGGGGCACACTAAGAAGTTGTGAGCTCAGCAATGATGCATTAAGGGTGTCCATAGAGAGCAGTGGATTTCCAAAAAGTTACACACACAGAGAATGGAAGCAAAAAATAAATTGATTTTGGTGCCCCGCCCCCCCAAAAGCCCTTAGAAATCCAGGCAGTTTGTCCTAAAATGTACATTGTTCATGAGCTTTGTGATGGCACAGTAGGTGCCTGGAATAATGATAGGTCAATGATTCTGGGAATACCTGGGGCAGAAGGCTGGGCTGCTTTAAGAAACAGCAACTTAGGGACCAGCAACATCAAAATCAAATGTGATATTCTCTGCAGCCCCGCTGAAAAGATAGCTACCAAAATAAACGCAGGCATTTCTCCATTAGCCACAAAACAATGGTCAATTAAAGTCACAATGCCTGCAAGCCACTTCACTGTAAATTTGCCCAGCATTCAACTTGACCCTTAGATAGACTGGGATGGGGGAGGCACTACCATAAAGCAGATGACTGTAATTTTCTCTTACATTGAACAGGCTGGATTCCTTGTCAACACACCAGTCTTTCTATTCAACTCTTCCACCTCCTCAACTCCAA